TGAATCCTATAGTTGAACTGTTTGCATCATTAATGGTTTGTGTTTGACAGTGGAGTTTAGCACTGCTATATCTGCCCAAGTAGTTCCTTGACTGTAGGAAAGAAGTACTATCCACTAATAATGGATGTTAGTCAACATTTTTCCGTTCTACCGACTCCAGATTTGAAAGTTCCTGTTCTGTGGGAAGAGGTTCTTTGCGTGATTGTGGAAAAGCTTCATCAGAAGAGCAGGGACAGGGATAATAGTGATTGTGAGGGTGATCGTCTTTGGAGCTAAATGTTGTCTTTTTATGAATGTGGTATCTTTGAAATCATTCCTTATTTTTCAAGGATTAATCCTGTGGATAAAGTGGGGGTTCAAAGTATTTTCTTAGATATATTTTCATTGTTGAAAAAGGCCACTAAAGCTGTAAGTAACACATTTGAAAGTGACGATACAGTAGTTTATTTCGTAGTCTATGTTGTTGTACATACTACTGTAAAACACTCCATCAAAAGGAAATGTGATCTAATGTGATCAGACCCCAGTTCGACCTTCAGCCTTACAATAAACACTATGTCTGTGTCAGTTAGGAAATGCCCTGTGACAACTCCATATAAACCCCTGGACACATCCACCCACCCACACCCCCCCCCACACACACACACACACACACACAGCCACACGCACACGCACACGCACACACACACACACACACACACACACACACACACACACACACACACACACACACACACACACACACACACACACACACACCACACACACACACACACACACACACACCAGCTGATGCAGACACACCACGCCTGTCTGGAGTGAGTGAAGCTCCTCAAATGTGAGCGTCCATTATTAATGTACCTGAAATTCCCCTGGGGTAATGAGCTCACTGATGAAGTCACCACTGTGCGTTTGTATACATATAGAGAGGGCTCTGCATAAAGTGCTCACAACCCCCTACCCCCCCCCCCCTCCCATAAATGTCCTGCAGCTGAACCGCCTGCTCATGCATTTATAAAGTGGTTGGTCCGCTAACAAACACTGTGCAACTTTGAATGGAAAGCAAGGATAAAGCTGTGTCTCTATTCCATCTGAAATATAACAGAAGTAGAAAGAGCTTCAGTATTCTTTTATTTTCCATTTCTAAACACTCGGAGGGTAATGCATGTCTTGCAAGAAAAATTGAAAAGACATTAAAAGAAAGAAACACTCAGAAATACAGCCGACCTGTGAATTTTAGTCCAATATCAACTTTTCTTCTAGCTTTTGACCAACTCAAGATGATTTAATCTTTAGATGCAGATGTTACACTTTTGCTATCTGTGAGCTTGTTAGCTGAAAACAGATCCCTACAGTTTAATGTGGCCGGTCTAACATTACCTGTAGGACTAAAATATGCATACAGTTTATTTGTAGCTGCAGATATGAAAATGAGACCTTTACGTTGAAGGGATTCTTATGTTAGGGTTAAGCAGAAGAAAAAAACTAAATGAAAATAGCAGCAATTAAGAAAATAAACACTGATGTAATTTGTTGTGGCTTTTCATTTTGTTTTCAGCAACAAGAACCTCCATTTGGTGGGATTAAATGCTTATGAAACAGTCATTGAGATTATTCTGCAATTGGCTTTAAGCATTATGTTCAACAGTTTTCTCAGCCAGCATTTCTTGAGCTAATTGGAGACTCAATGCGGGTCTTTAAATATCCTTGCGTCATTGTATCTTTCAGACTATTGTGTCACCAAACACCTCTGTCATTGTGACCATGACCTTCAGAGTTTCCATCTTCCCCCTGCTGGCTTATCTTCAACACTGAGGTGATATTGTCTGTATGAGCATAAAGATGCTATTTCCAAGATGTGTCTGATGCACATTTAAATGTTGAAAATGACTCATCAAGACTTCCAGTGGGAATATGAGCTTTCTGGTATCCCTGGAGGCATTTCCCCCTGCTACTGTGGGCGAACATAAATCAAAATCGATTAATCAAATAAATTCATGTGGTTTTCTTCCAGTTAAGAAGTACATTTCATTATCAGTTTTTGATACGCTTTCTTTTTTGATATGCATATTCAATGATGAAGGTGATTGCTCTGCCGAGAAGATGATCAGCTGCAATCTGCCATCCCTCAAGGACCCTGAGGAGGGGAGGAAAGATTGTGGGCGACCCCTCCCATCCTGGACACAAGATCTTTGAGCTGCTCCCCACTGACAGGAGGCTGCACTCCATCAGAACCTCCAGCCACAAGAACAGGTTCTTCTCATCTGCTAATATCCTCATTTACAAGGCTCGCGACCCCCACTGACACTGGCTCTTACCCTCTTCATAAACGCTATTCTTTACATTAAAGAGATTCTGAAAGTTTCAGGAAAAAAGATTCACTCACTTTTTGTCCTGATCCATTTATATAAAAAACCTGTCTGAAAATGAGCTGATCAGATTTTGGCCACTTTATGATGTCATAACGATGTTTTGGCTTGTGTAACCATTGGCCAATCACCAACCAAGGTAACACAATATATGCACAGCTTTCCACTTAACATCCCAATACTGCAAATGTTTCATAGTATTTACAAAGTATTGAGTTATGTATATTTAGATTTTCTGTACATATGTATCTACACTTTTAATTTTTTATCAGTGTTTTAAATAGTTTTTATAATTGTTAGATTTGTTTGTCCTTTTCTTCAAAGGTTTTTTCTCCTACTGTGTTAATGTATGCAACATACACAACAAATCAAATTCCTTGCTTTGTAAACCTACTTGGTGATAAACCTGTTGATTCTGATTTCTGGTTCAATGTCTCAGATTCACAATTGCCTCCAGTAAAACACCAACTGCTGTTTGCAAACGTGTTTGTTTAAAGCTTGATGGATAGCAATGGCATAGTATTGGCATAATACAAAGATATTATCTTTGTGATGGGTAACAAAACAAACACAGAACGCTATCTGCATTTGATGAACAGACAAAATAATACAATAATACTGACATATGATAGTTGGGGGGTGGGTACGTTATTGAGATCAACCAGCAGAGCCTGCTCTTTCCCTACAAAATACCTTAAGCTGAAATGTCCTTATACCCCGAAGCCAATCAGTTAGTGTTATGTTCTGAGACACTCAATGACACGTGTGGTTTATTGTTGTTGATGTCGCTCAGCAGTGTCTCGTGTTTGCAAGTCAAGGAGTAATTCTGGATTCTGATCTCTTTGATTCCCCTGCAGTTGGATGAGTAATCTAAATACACATAGAGTACAGTGTTTACCCCCTGCAGAGAGCTCCCACATTCAGTAATCTAGGCTATAATTAGCCCTCTGGATAGGAAGACAAAGCAAAGCAGAGAAAGAAGAAATACATGGATTTTAAACCTCAAGATATTTCCAGCACTCAGTAATATCTCTTCCTCATCTGTCACGTCACTACATCGCTAAAACAATCAAATACCAGTCAAAAAAAGCTCTCATCTACTCGTAAAAATGACACTGAAAAAAAGCCCCTCGACCCTCCTGTTGCCTTGGTTACTGTAGCAGAACTGAATGGAGGCGGAGGAGGTGATGAAGGTTTCACTGGGAACAGAGCCGGAGAGATCTGGCAGAATAATACATGTACCTCTGCTTATTTTCTCCCTCTCTACCTCTCCACATCCCCCCTCTCGTATAGTAGCACTTCAGCACTCCAGTTTTTATTAATGGCACACTTATTTCCATCCCGATAAACTAGTAGGTGCTAGTGGGCCTAAAACTATATTCACCGAAAAAAGGAAAGTCTCCACTTCAGCCCCATTTCAGAGGACCTGAACAAACAGTTAACGGCTCAAAGTGAATTATTCAGATGACTAGGATGTAACGGGGCAATCACATGTGATCAGACTCAAGGTTTTTACTGAGCGGCTCTGTCACCATCATCAGGCCTCTCTGCCTCTGGGCTTTTTCCTCTGCTGGCAGGAAGCTGAATGGAGCAGCTGTTCAGCACAGAATGACACATACAATTTTATAAAATGAGCATAAGCATATAAGGTGGATACTCTGGGAATGTATTGTTCAGTAGTGTCTTTTAACTATTAACAAATCTGTTAAAATTGTTATCCAAAATATGCTCTAGAGCAACTATGTGTTTCCTTTTTTACTTATAGGGGCTTATCTACAGTCAGCTGCTGCTCCTTATCTTTAAAAAAAAAAATCTGTTAAAACGTTTTTTTTGTGGTCAGGAGTTCCTTTGACTGTGTCCAGTAGATGCAAAAACCCTTCAAGAGCAGTGGTAGGATTTAGTTTTATATTTCACAGACACTATATTAATCTCAGCTTCACGTGACATGAGTCAAGACAAGCAGCAACTTTGTGCTGCAATGATAAAGAGCAATGACGCCAAACCTTGCCAACGTTTGCACATCTTGGATTTTACACCTTGCTGCTGCACTCAATTTTAACAATCAATGTTTGTAAGCCATTTTTCATAGTGCAACCACTTCAACATTATAGCAACATCATGGCACGGCCACTACAGCATGTTTGAATCATAGTCAAATGGGCTTACTAGATTTATGAATACTGCAACACTGGCACTTTCTCCCACCTAGTGCTCTTTGTGATATATGCTAACATCTGGGTATGGACACTGAAAAATGTATAAATAATGAGTTGCCATGCTTGGACGTCTCCAAGGTGTAATAGTACAAGGACACAGTCATCTCCTCAACTGTCCAGCATGTTATTATAGTAAGGAGTGCAGCAGTGTCTAATATTACTGGTGATTTTACCACTGTGAGGTGGGACTTTGGAAGAGGAATAGCCAAAATCAATCCAGAAACACTGGCTGAAAAACACTTTACTCAACCCTTAGCGCTGATTTGAAACAGCTTCCTCCCTTGTGACTAGGATAGATGAAGATGGAAGTCTAAAAAACCATTACAAATAAAGGTGATAGTTACATGATTGCTTGAAAAGTGTAGCTTATGTAATGAAACCTTGTGAGAAATATCTCGTTATGGAGGCAGCTCACCTTTATATCCGGGCCATTGAAGTTTAGGCTCATCCCGCACTCGTCCGTGATCTCTGTAATCTCCGACAGGTCGTCATCTTCAAATTCATCCAGGCTGATGTCATGGGTCAACCTGGATGAAGGGGAGGATTAGGGGGAGAAGGGGAAGGGAGAGAGATGAGGAAAATGAATCAGTGTTAATCCCTTAGCACTCGTTTAAAGCCACAGAATATCTTAAAGGTCCCATGTCATGCTTTTCCGGTTATTACCCGTCCCCTTGTGTGTTGTGAAGGTTTTTATGCATGTCAACGGTCTGCAGAGTCACAAACCCTCAAAGTACACCCTGTAGCAAGAAATGCTCTCCGCAGACCCATTCTCACAGCGTTTATAAACCTTTTTCTTACTCAATATCAAGCCATACTTATTGTTTTTACTTCGACTGTGAGTGTTTGTATGTGCTCAGGATGAGTTTTGCGCTGTATCGCCGACCCGGAAACCACACCAGTAAGCCAGCTCACTGAGCAGCGAGCCTCGCAACGTCCCGACCAATCAGAGCACACTGGGCTCACAGGGAGGGGGGGGGCAGGAGCTCCAACAAGCCGTTTAGGACAGAGAGTAAATACACATACTATACAGAGATGCTGTATGAGAAACCAATGTGAGTTTGGAAAATTGCACAATATACATTTATTTTAGTATACCTCAACAATGGAATTATGATCAGTAGAAATGGCCATGACATGGGACCTTTAAAATCTTAAATTGATCGAATTATCTTTCTGACCGGGTGGCTACTCCAGGCCAAATGTCACATAGAGGGGTCAAAAGCTCTGGACATAACGGTCAACATATTACTGTAGCTAAGAAATGATAAAGATACATATTCACCAAATAAACTGTATGATACAGTCATTGTTTATCATATATGTCATAATTTAAATGACATCTAAAATAATTCAATACAAAGTGTAATGTAGTCTATTCAACACATTTTAGTAATACCGAACCTGTTATTAAGTTTAAACATTGGCAACTATAGTCATGTTAGTAAATATGCACAAGTTTGTTTACACTTATTTATAGTGGTAAACCATTTATTAAATGTGTATAAGGTATTATACATGCTATCATAATATTACCATCTGTTAGTGTATAAAAGCAAGTAAATAAAGGATGATATTATTCAAAGCCACTGGCAGCATTTCTGCGTCACAAGCAGTGGTATTTCCCTGGTCAGTGACAACAACAGATATCTGACTGGAGAGGGGGGTGATGGAGAGCCTGTATAATGGCTGCTGCTTCAGCATTAGCAGCCTGGATAAAGCTAAACACCTGCAGTGGTGAGAAGCTGAATCAGAGGACTACTGGGAAATGCATCTTCACATTAACAGCTCAATCCATAAGCTTACTGTAACACAAAATGATAACAGGATCGAGGGCAAACTTGATGACAGAATCCAAACATTTCTGAGTGGCTTTTCCAAGATACAGAGTTAACATTTACACATTTATTTTTTTACATTTAAAATGTGTGTGTTGACAGAAACAACAGCACAGAAAAATTACAAATCTATAATACAACATCATGTAGCAAGTAAAGGTAGCAGCCACAGTGTTAATTTAGAATGCAGTACACGGAATACATCAATAAACATATTGTTGATTTTACTACATTTTCAAAAACAACAAAAGTTGTCCATTCTCTAAAGAAACTGCGCTTTCAGCAGTCTTCATAGCTCCGGCTAGATTTTGAAATAAAGTATATTTTTTGGTCATTGTTGTGATGAAGGTGGCTCCAGGAGTTAACTCATATAACCCTAAATCAAAGAGTATCACCCTCTGGGGAGCATGAGCATTTTAGCATTTCATTGATGCTTGACAATTGGCAGTGTAACCAAAAACGTTTTTGGGTTACAATGGAGACTGGGAACCCTTGGAACAAGGAATATCCAGTGTAAATGTAATTCCAACCAGCCTGTTGTTGAAACTCGTGACAAACTGATGCAACCTACCAGAACAAAAGACAGCTATAACACCAAGGACCTTAATAATGAGCACACCCCTGTCAAAGCAGATCAATCCTCTCAGTTCAAACTCTGCATCAGGTTTCTACCAGCATATCGACAGTTCTGGTAACTTCATGTACCGCATCCAAATGTATGTGCACATTGAAATCTGTTTTGCAGGGAAGAACATGAGTGTGTGCTCTTGCAGCAACCCTGAACATCATTCCAGTGTCAACCCGGGAAATGTACGGTCCTGATGTCCGTGGTAGGATTCAATTAGCTTTCAGTAAACAATGCCTCGCTTTTCCCCATCTGTAATTATGTCCGCCTGTTATCTCTTTAGCCCGCAGCCTCCTGGGCGTAACAGACAGAGGAAGAGAGCAGGAAGATGTTATTAGAGGGATGAAGAGAAGATGGCAGTGATCACAAGGAGCTTAAAATCAAGCTGTCAGAGAAACCTGGTGAACTTGGGAAGCTGTGATCCTCATATTGTTGCATGAAGCTAATGTCATTTCTGGCTACATTTACACAAAATTACGCACAGCTGTGGCCTTCTTTAGCACTCACATTTTGGAATATGGGTGTGAGAGTTAAGTATCCGGGGTAGAAGCATCTGTTTATGTCTATAATGAGGCCCTAAAGGAGGCAGGAAAGAAGGGCTGAAGGATGGAGCAAGAGAAAGTAGAGCAGTCCATCGGTATGGAATAAATTATCTCAAATGGGAATACACATGATAGAAAGAGAAGAAACATAGAAAGATATGAAGAAATCAGCAGGTGGATCATGCACCTTCAATTCTGCATGTGAAAAACCGGCAGCATCACTGACCATTTAGGTTTTAAGTGACAACAACAAATGTGGAGCAAGGCACCACCAAATGCTGAACAACACATTTTTAGCAAACCAAAAGAACTGAAAACAAAATAAAGGGTTAAAGTTCGGTCTGTTTTACCCTGATTGAAACCGTCATTTACAAATTAAACATCATGCCGAATTGAAGAAGCCTTTAAACTTTGAGACCATTAACCCATTAAGAATATGGTGATGTGTGTTAATCAGCGACTGAAATAAGTGCCAGCAAATAAATGTTTCTCTCCTGATTGAGAAAGTATAGTTAATCTTATTTTTAGAATATTGTATTTGGGACTAGTGCATTTTTGGTTTCTACCTTTATAGGTAAAGGTACTGTATAATGATGAATTAAGCATTTACAGAGAGAGTCACAGTGGTTCTATATTTTCTATTTTCCATTTTTTCAATTGAAAGAGTATAATCCTTTGCAAATAATTGTACTTATTGTGTTGTAAAAATATATGTCAAGAGACTGTAATTTGTATTTCAGCATGTTTATTTTCTACTTTTTTAATGCTATTTTATTTCTATTTGAGATGTTTACATTTTGGATTGTTTATTTAAAGTCTTTTAATTTCTCTAATGTACAATGCCATGTCTTTTTATGCTTCTGCAACACAAACATTTCCCACATTAGGATCAATAAAGTACTTTGTATTCTTATCTTATCTTATATTCAAGCACCCCGAAAATGTCTCAAGCTTATATTGTTTTAGGCCACCTAACATGATCAGCTCTGAGTAACAAAATGTGGCTTTACATTTTGCAGTGCTCCTGTGGATGCTCACTCACTTGCATCGCTTACTTGCACCCAATGGAAGGGAGCCATCGTTAATGTGATTATTCTCACCGGTGCTTCTGTTTTGACAGGCCAACATGTCTGCTGTGAAAAGAGTGCATTTTATAGGCTTTGGTCTGGGGACACTGCACCACTTTTAAAGAAAGAAAAAACATTGGCGTATCAGTTTACTACAATGTAATTTATTACAACACAGACAAATGCTTGGTAGAGGAACAAAATCAATATGCTCCTGAGCATGCCCCTTATCAGCATCACTTACAGGAAGGAGGAGGGAAAGGTGGAGGAGAAAAGAGGAGAGAAAGGAAATGAAAGGACAGGAGAGATTGAATGCCAATCAGAGTGCAAACCAGCCATAAGCATGTCATTTATGTTGACCCTTTTTATGGAGGTTTTGACCTATAATTGTCGCTTCACAAGGACAAAAGGAAGAGTCTAAAGAGTGGTGAACAAGAGGTGGGAGGAAGATGTCCTGACTTCAGATCAAACCCAGAGGAAAGTACAAATAGAGGCAGAGGACAGTGAGAGGAAGGAGAGAGTCATGGGGACACGGAGGGAGGAGGAAATGAAGTGCCGGGAGATAAACCACCTGGACAGGACAGGGTGACCCCTTTGCTGCACTGAATTGTGGGTAAGGAGGGATGCAGACACCGGAAAAAACCACACATCAAGGAGCAGGCGTTACAGGGTAGGTAGTAGGGCTGCTCAATTAATCGTATTTTAATACAATTTTGGCTTGCAACGATTATGAAAACAACATAATCGAAATAAAACGATTATTTATTTTATTTTAAAAAAAGATTCTATTGATTTTTCAGTTTAATTATACTTAAAGCTCAGGGTAATCAACTGTTAAAAACATACTGCTCATATTTTTCTTTCAATAAATTGATGTTTTCAAAGTAAATGGATAGTCGTTTTTAATAATCGTGATATCAATTATTGACCCAAATAATCGAGATTATGATTTTTGCCATAATCGAGCAGCCAGTAGGTAGTGTGTACAATGCAGAGCACACTCTCATTAAACAAGCTGTAAGGGCACATCACAGGGAGCCACCTGAAACACTTTGGTAGTTTTGTCTTAAAGCATAAAATAGATTCTCTGAGCGTTTGATCTCTCACCTTTTAACACATTTGAGTTTGTTTTTTAGTTCCCACAATAGTGGAATAAATGTAATTAAATATTTATGAAGATAAAATGATTCATTTGTAAGTTGATGTCCCTATCACAGCAAAACACCTGTTTTATATTCATTTCTATTTGATTTACATAAAAAGGAAAGAAATAGAGAAAGACACCTGACCAAAAAAAGCATGTTCAACTTTATATGTATTCATTCTGCTGATCTCTCCTTTATTCATACAGTTGTTACCTTGCATAGCCCAAAGTGCAGCCACAAGGACATGATCCATCACCTGCCTGCCACTTACAACAATGTTATTGAGTTTAAAGAGAATCCAGCCGACAGAAGC